TTCTTCTATTATATATTTCATATTTTTTCAAACATGGAGAATGCACTGATGAGTTTAAGGCCTCTGTCTTGCAAAGACTACTTTTCAGTATCTTTTTATAGCCATTCATGCACTTCGTGTACATCTGATCTGATAAAAATAACCTGACTTTTATAAATGAGTCCTCGTTTCAGTATCTTAGAGTATTCCTTTAGAAAATGATCCTGTCCTCTGAGACTCTGCCGTGGACTCGATGCTGCTTCAATTCATCAAGACACCGATTAGCAGCTGTTCTGAGCAGCGCCTGTGTGCCACGTGCTCCACACAGTGTTTTCAGTGTCTGTGAATCCAGGAGATGAGTGACAGCGGAGATTAAGCCATGTACTCAAACGCAGGATAGGGAGTAAACAGGGAGAACGTATTCTCCGATGCACGAGACAGCCGTAGCCAACACAACGGCACTTCACAACTTCCAGGAGGCTCCATGGGTGTGGGTGCTACAGTTTCAACTTCCCCACAATTGTTTTATCAGACTCTACTTTTCCTTAAAAAATATTGGCTAAGGTTAGGGAGCTGTAACATTTTATGAGACAACCTCTGTGCCTGCACGTGTGTAAGCGCTGCAGTCTGCGAGCCGCACTTTCGGTACCACACGGCCTCAGTCTGTTACCGCGCGCTGCGGCCAGCGCACACACACACCAGGAAACTCAGTTCAGGCCATGGTTTTAGTTCTGAGCTTAAAAGGTAAGTAAAACGATATTTTCGGCAGGATAAAAAGTACCTTGTGTCTTTTAAAATAGGGGTGAACTGAGAAGTTAGGACCCTGGAATTCAAAAGCTCTTGCTCACTTTGCTGATAGCCACTGAAATTCTAAAAGAACTAACAAACCAGTGACAGTGAGCGTACAGGGAAAGTGCCAGAACCACTGACACGTGGGCTTGTGCTGGTCCACACAATCACATCCCTGACACACCCATGTGTCAAGGGCACATTTCAATGACACGACCACCCTATTAACAGCAAACTGGGTGTGAGGAGCCAGGTCAGGCTGCCAGCTGCACAGGGGCTGGCTCTGCGGTGGCAGCTCGTCACCTGTGACCACACAGGCTGGTGGCCAGCCCCCTGGATCTCAGACAGCCTGCGTGTGTAATTTCCACAGCATCTCTTAGTCTTCCCGTGGGGACAGGGCCTGAATACATGCGTATGAAAGACAGATGCAGAGGTGCCACCTCTGGGCTGCCGATCCTTTACAAAAGGTGAGGTTTTCATCGGTAAGAGATAACCTGGCCCCAGGACTCACGTCACAGCCCCCTCCTCCCTTCAGTGGCCAGACTGACCCCGAGGAAAAGCTGCTCTGCGAGCCGCTGCCCCGTGGTGCCTTTATCCACACGACAGGCACGGCACACGGGTTTGTCGGGAGAGGTGAGGCCACAACGGGATACTTGCCACTAAGCAGAGGCTTGTTGAGGGTGTAGAGGGGGGGCAGGTCCTCGATGTTCGAAATCCGCTGGTACATGGCTCTGGAGAGGTGGTCCCCATGGTACAGGCTGCCCAGGATGATGCTGGAGAAGTAGATCGGCTCCACGAAGATGCTGAGCAGCGAGCCCTGGAGGCCCACCACGTTCCACCTGCCGGCAGAGGGAGCGGGTGTCACCGGGCGCAGCGCCTGCCGCAGACTGACGCCCACCTGCCTGCGTGTGCAGACTCCGCTAATTCTGCACCACGTCGGCCGATTGAAAAGAGAGCAGCTAGAAATAATCGACTTAGCAGGTTAGAGTCTTAAAGAGAAAAAGCTACTTAAAAAGCATTTTAGCTGTGAAATGACCTTTTGCCATGATGACACGCTTACTGAAGGTTAGTTCTAGCAAGGTATCCAGGAGACCTGTTTCTTGTGAGGAAAATCAAAAGGGAAAGTAAGTATTTTATCACTTCCAATAGAAATGATCTCTCTGGAGTCCTTAGAAACATTAAACGGTCATTTTCCTGCTCCTTGGTGACACCTCCGACTCAGGTTCCTTTTCACACAACCAGCCACGCCCGGGAGGAGGTGTGTGCTCCCCTCTGCCCATCGATCGCTGAGCCTGCCCTGACAGGCACAGCAGTGGCAACACTGGAACCACACTGGGACCGACTGCAGGACCCTTAATAACCAATCACTCACATCGCTGACATCCAGGCGTTCGTTTGAGCTCTAACTCAGACACCATCCCTCAAACATGCTGCTGTTCTCTCTCTGAGCCCCACCAACAGGAGAAACACTCCATAGCCTGGGGAGTCCGCGCCCTCAGTGCTGGCCAAGTCCACGGGGCAGATGACACAGCCCGCATGGTCTGGAGCCGGGGCTGTCTGGCCGGGGACAAGCAGTAAAATGGCAAACACATGAATCAAGAATTAAAAGTTGAGCTGAAATGCATTTGAGGGAGAGCAAGGTTCCACGACAGAGCGGAAGAACGGTGCTGACTTCAGGGAAGGCTCAGAGGAGATGACCCTGAACTCGGCCCCAGAAGGGGAGTGAGGCAGAGGGAACGAGCCACCACCCAGACCCAGCAGGGGACAGGCCTGAGCAGCCCCCCCGCAGGCCCTGGCTGTCCCCAGAGCGGGGAGCTCCTGAAGGCCTTGCAGGGAGGGGTGGGGCCACCCGATTTAACGGAAGTGCTTTTCCGAGAGGGTCCTTTCTGGAGGTGACCTGCCAGCGTGTGGGCAAGGGCCGGTGGGACGGCAGCCAGGTGGGGGCCGTAGGACAGCCGCCTCTGCAGCGCAGGTCAGAGATGAATGGGGGCAGCAGAATTTAGAAACGTTAGTGCTCCCCTGTCCCCTCTCCCTGTGTCCCCTCTCACCACTGGCCACCGGCTCTGCCCTATCTCCGGCCTCCAGGAGGGTGGGCGGTGCCTCATGGTCAGAGCTGGGAACAGCCTCCGCATGAGCCTCGCCCTGAATCCTGGCCCACCCAGCTCCACGTCCCACACTCAGGCCAAACTCACTCCTTCGTCCCTGTCACTGCAAGAGACCTCCTTTCTCACGGATCCAGAAGCCACTGCTGCTGGGGCACAGCCCCCACCCTAGCGCCCATCCCCAACAGCAGCCACCTGACCTGTGAAAATGCCGGTCAGACAAGGCCACTCCCTTGCACAAAACCCGCCAACACTCCATCTTCTCCGAGAAAAGGCCATCGTTCCCACCGCCGCCAGCCTGTCCGACCCGGCTCCTCCTCCCTGACCCCTCCAGCCTCAGTGCCTCCCACGCTCAGCTCGGGCCACCAGGGTCCTGCTGCTCCCTCCAGAGTCCTTCCCTCAGGTCCTTCATCCCAGAACATGGCCCCATGGCCCTGAGCAGCCCCCTGACCACGGTCCCCATCGCTGTCTCTGTGGAAAGTCCCGCTTGGTGCCCGGTGCCAGCCTCTCCTGTGTTACCTGCGGGTCTATGCTTTGTCTCCCCACCCCTAGCAGAAGGTAAGCTCCTGGGGGAAGGACTCTGTTTACCTCCCTGATCTGTCCCTGCTTAAACTGCGCACCAGGGACATACAGGTCAATAGTAGGTGCTGAGCGAGCAAGCCCTCCAATTCCTCCCTCTCCCACCTTCTAAAACAAGATTAAAACACAGGTTTCCCATCTTACAAGGAAAAGCAGGGCAGGACTGGATGCTTACCAAAACCACAAGGCACCCTTTCTGTGTAAATTCAGGCCATCTTAGGCAGAACTCAACCTCCTGGGGCCCACTTTAAAACACTGATGCTGCAGAAAGCTGTTTGTTATGAGTCATTAATTCGGACACATGCTTCAGAAGAGTTCCAGGAGCTTCGGAGTGCTCTGTGGAGGCCCCGGTGGAAGTGGTGTGCACACTGCCACTCTGCTGACAAGCTCCACCCCCGAGCCTCACAAAGGACAGCCAGGACCGAACTTCACCAGGAGCAAAAGTGCCCAGTGATGGCCGAGGGGCCCAGTGATGGCCGAGGGGCCCAGTGATGGCCGAGGGGCCCAGGGATGGCCAAGGGGCCCAGGGATGGCCGAGGGGCCCAGTGATGGCCAAGGGGCTCAGTGATGGCCAAGGGACCCAGTAATGGCCAAGGGGCTCAGTGATGGCCAAGGGGCCCAGTGATGGCTGAGGGGCCCAGTGATGGCCGAGGGGCCCAGTGATGGACGAGGGGCCCAGTGATGGCCGAGGGGCCCAGGGATGGCCGAGGGGCCAGTGATGGCCGAGGGGCCCAGTGATGGCCAAGGGGCCCAGTGATGGCCGAGGGGCCCAGTGATGGCCGAGGGGCCCAGGGATGGTCAAGGGGCCCAGTGATGGCCAAGGAGTTTCAGTGATGGCCAAGGGGCCCAGTGATGGCTGAGGGGCCCAGTGATGGACGAGGGGCCCAGTGATGGCCAAGGGGCCCAGTGATGGCCGAGGGGCCCAGTGATGGCCGAGGGGCCCAGTGATGGCCGAGGGCCCAGTGATGGCCGAGGGGCCCAGTGATGGCCGAGGGCCCAGTGATGGCCGAGGGGCCCAGTGATGGCTAAGGGACATGTGTCACTGCAGCCAGGATCCAAGCTGTCAAACGTCCCCAGTGAACCTGGTGAAGACAGGAAACTTGGTAGGTGGTTGCCAAGTGTCAAACCCCTCTCTGTGGCCCCCGCCCCGGGGAGGGTGCAGGTTCATAGTTTGCTGGTGACACTTGCTTGGGTGACACTGGAAGAACCAGCAGGTGCTAAGTGCTCACTCGGCCACTGTGCTTGCTGCTCAGGCCACTTTCTCTCTCACCTTCCTTGCGTCTTTCTCGAGGACAGGGTTCAGAGCGCTACCATGCCAGTGAGTCCCTGGGTCCGTAAAGTGCCTGGCCCAGTTCTGAGAGGCTGAGTGTGCAAGCGGCCAGTGGCCAGACCAGTTGTCACAGGAGAGCTCTGACCCAACCACAGCCTCCACGGCACCTGGCCCAGACGGTCAGGACTTGGTCAGCTGCCCTAACTATAGTCCCTGCTTCCAACTTGGGGTCCCTCAGAGAAAACCCAGTCCGCCCCTGGCCAGAGGCGGCCCCACATCTGGCGAGTGAGCCACAGCCTCCAGGGGATACACCTGAGACTCCCTGGTCCTGTGGAGCTGCCCTGCCTGGCCTGCCCACACAGTGGGGGAGGGCCCTCTGCCACAGAAGCTCTGAATAACCATGCTGTCTGCCCTCAGGCAGGTGGTCTCTGGGGGTGGTCTTTGTTTCCTCCCACAGCTCCGTGCAGCGCAGAGCACAGAGGCCACAGTCATCAGATTGGAGACACTGGCGCCTTCTCACAGCCCAGCTGACGCAACTTGTCATAAGATGGTTAAACCCTTTCTCGTCACTGTGACCCATGCAGCCTTGAGGGGGGTCGTGGCTGCCTTCAGCCAAACTGTCCACCGACCCACCAGACAGACAGCACCTGGTGACCCCAGCAGTAGCTCTGAACCTCCCTCCCCGCCCCCAGCCCGCTGTGGCCTCACTCCTACTCCTGCCCTCTGCCCCTGCGCCCACGTCCTGCCTCGCAGGCTGGGACCTACGGGACACTGCTCTGTCCCCTGTGAGAGACACAGGACACCTCACCAGCACCTGCCCACTGCCTCTCATCCGTGACAGCCACTTGGGCGGCTGTTCATTTCATTCCCTCGGGACAGGACTGGACGCCACGCTGTTTCTGGGCCAGGGCTGTTCTGGTTGTAAGCATGGCCATCTGTCGTTGTGATACTGAATATTAAGCCCCTTTCAACCACACTCGAGTTTACAAAAGTGAGGTGAGTTTAGGAGGATGGGGGCCAGCTGCCAGGGGAACTGACTATATAATTAGAGGGGGTAGGAAGAGGAACTGGGGGTCAAACTGATCACCAATAATCAATGATATAATCAATCATGGCTATGTGAGAGAAATCTGCATAAAACCCAACAGGCTGTGAACACATCAGGTGCTGGGAAAGGGGACCAGAGAGCATGGAGATCCTTGTACCCCATCCTCCCAGGCATCTTTCATGAGGCTGTCCCTGACTTGTATCCTTTACAATAAAATGGTAACTAGGTAACTGTAGCCCCTGAGTTCTATGAGCTGTCCTAGCAAGTTACTGAGCCTGAAGAGGGCGTGAGGGAACCCCAACTTGCAGCCAAGTCAGGCAGAAGTGTGAGTACCTGGGCAGTCTCATCAGACTGTCCCGTCACCTCTGGGGGCTGTGCTGACCCCAGGTGACACCTGAATGGGCTTGGCTTGTAGGACTGCAGCGTGTGGTGTGGGGCCCATATGCCTGGTTTCGGAGGGGCTGGGAGGACTGGGTGTGGCCAGGGTCCCATGCTGTCCCTCCTCCTTCCCTCCGGCCTGTTTTTGCTTTTCCCTGTGATGATGTGTCACCGCATACAGCGAAAGGCACAGATCATAGGGGCGCACCTCTGTGAATTTTGACTCTTACATGCCTGTGTGTGATGACCCCGTTTCAACGAGACACAGAACATTCCCACGACCCCCGGCCACGCCCTTCCAGCAATGCCCTGCATGATGGACGAGCTGTAGGGTTGGCTTTGCAAGCTGGGCTCTCACTTGCTGATTATGTGAACCAGAAACTACTCCCATGGCGTTTCTTTCAACTGGGGGTTTTGGTAAATGAGATTTAAAATGTCCATTTAGTCAAACGTATTCATGTC